AAGGAGTGTTGACCTCCACCCCTGTTCTGTCACACAACATTTATCACCTCTGCATGAGACTCTAAGAAAGCAGAAAAAACTTTGGAGTTCTGATAAGAAGTAGATATTGCAACAATGATAGTCTCATTCCTGCTTGAGGCACCTCCCCCCTCACCATTTGCCCTATTTGAGTTTATCATCAAAGTTCTTTCCATGCTGACTACAAAGGGGCAGGAATGCAGCTTGGCCTTTGGACACCAGCTTTTCAGAACTGAGATGTCAGACAATCTTATTCTTACCCCTGAAGAACCCTGACAATGTGGAGAATTTTACTTGTAATGGATAGGGTGGATGATTTCCTTACTTTCTCCTTATAAGCTGCTCCCTGCTGTTCATCTCAGGCTTGAAGAGAATAAGGTAACATTTTTGGGAAAAGATACAGCCTGAGAGTCCTGCACTGGATGCTAAGATGGAGAAGATCTCCACAGCCACCATGTATTTCCCTTTTGTGCTCAGGTACGTTGGAACAAAGGAGAGCCAAACACTGCAAAACATCAGCATGCTGAAGGTGATGAACTTGGCTTCATTGAAACTGTCAGGAAGCTTCCTGGCAAAGAAAGCCACCAGGAAGCAGACGATGGAGAGAAGTCCCATGTAACCCAGGACAAGGCAGAACATGAGGACAGAGCCAGCACTACATTGCACAATGATTTCCCCCAGGATGGAGTTCATGTCTAATTCCCGTAATGGAGGAGAGGTTCTGAGCCACACGGTGCAAATAGCAGCTTGAACGAGGCAACAAGAAAGCACAATGGAGGTGGCCAGTCTCTTCCCCTCCCACTTCCTCATGCTCGAGCCTGGCTTGGTGGCCATGAAAGCCACCACCACTGTGATGGTTTTGGCCAATACACAAGAAACAGCCAAAGAGAAGATCATGCCAAACATGGGCTGTTGGAGAAGGCAGGTAACCTTGCCTGGCTTTCCAAGAAAAAGGAGAGACAAGAGGAAGCAGAGCAGGAGAGAGCCGAGTGGGTGTAGGTGAGGCCCCGGTTGTTGGCCTTGACGATGGGGGTGTCTCTGAGCTTAATGAAGGTCTGCAGCACCAAGACAGTGAGCAGGGAAAAAGAAAGAGCAACTGAAGCCAAACTTATCCCCAAGGGCTCCTCATAAGAAAGAAAGTGGATTACTTTCGGATGCATCTGTCTTGCTTCCTGCTTGGATAGTGATCATCTGCACATTCAGAGCAGACCTCTGAGTCTGAAAAGAGAAGAGAAGAAAGAGGTATTAACTTCATGACTCAGCATATGTGAACATCAGCTAATTTCCATGGCTAATTTGTTGCCAGTGATAACACAATGCATACACAAATCTTCTTGTTTTAAACGTGGAACCCATCCTGAAATCTTTCTTGTTTGTTTACTGGGGACAAATGGTTAAACATTTATCTTTCAGATTTCTTGTCATAGGAAGTCTTTTACTTCCGCACAGATCAAGGCATGTATGGAAAACCATTATGTTTTCCATTGCTTCTGAAAAAAGATTAAAATGTCAGGGTTAAATAGACCAATGGATGATACTGATCAGATTATATACACCCACAATGTGCTAAACCTTAAAAGGTGGTATGATATTAAGTAGGATTTTGATGAAGCACCATGAAATCCATCCCTGAACTTCTACTTGTCCTGTGTACCATGAATGGGTGCAGGAAGAAAGAATGAGGTATGACACCAGTGTGGTAATTAAATCGGGATCTATTTCTAGAGAGCATTGTATGTCTGTTAATCCATTCTCCCAGAACTCAGACTCAATGCTGTCACCAAAATGACTGAGGTCCAGAGGGCTGGTCCCTGGGAATTGAATGTGCTCAACCCACTCACAAAACAGATTCTTTGCACTTCTCCGATATTAATCTAACTTGCTGGAATGTTTGGTGCTTCATGTTACCTACCTGTTCGGTTTGAAATCTTCCCTTCTGGGCATGCATTACAATCATAGCAACATTTTTTTTCCCCTTCCCTCGTTCTCTTCTCATGACCAGCTGGGCAGGAATCACGACAGATGGAATGA